GCAACTGCTGGGTCATAGGCTAGTTCTATTTTCAGTTTCTTGAGGAACCTCCATACTGTTCTCCAGAGTGGCTGCACCAGTTTGCATTCCCACCAATAGTGCAGGAGGGTTCCCTTTTCTCCTCATCCTCACCAACACCTGTTGTTTCCTGTGTTGTTAATTTTGGCTATTCTGATAAATGTGAGGTGGCATCTCACTGTGGTTTCGATTTGTATTTCCCTGATGGTGAGTGATGTTGAGCATCTTTTCATGTGTCTGTTGGCCATCTGGATGTCTTCTTTGTTTGGCAAAGTGTCTATTCATGTCTTCTGCCCATTTCTTAAACTGGGTTATTTGTTTTTTGTGTGTTGAGTTTGATAAGTTCTTCATAGATTTTGGATACTCACCCTGTGTCATGTTGTTCGCAAATATCTTCTCCCATCCCGTAGGCGGCCTTTTAGTTTTGTTGATTGTTTCCTTTGCTGTGCAGAAGTTTTTTATCTTAATGAAGTCCCAATAGTTCACGTTGGCTTTTGTTTCCATTGCCTTCCGCAACGTGTCTAGTAAGAAGTTGCTGTGGCTGAGGTCAAAGAGGTGTTTGCCTGCTTTTTCCTCTAGGATTTTGATGGTTTCCTGTCTCACATTTAAGTCTGTCATCCATTTTGAGTTTATTTTTGCGTATGGTGTAAGAAAGTGGCCCAGTTTCATTCTTCTGTATGTCGCTGTCCAGTTTTTCCAACACCATTTGTTGAAGAGACTGTCTTTTTTTCCATTGGATAGTCTTTTCTGCTTTGTCAGAGATTAGTTGGCCATATAGTTGTGGGTCCATTTCTGGGTTTTCTCTTCTGTCCCATTGATCTGTGTGTCTGTTTTTATGCCAGTACCATACTGTCTTTATGACTGCAACTTTGTAGTATAGCTTGGAATCTGGAATCATGATGCCTCCAGTTTTGTTTTTCTTTTTCAGGATTGCTTTGGCTATTCAGGGTCTTTTGTGGTTCCATACAAATTTTAGGATTGTTTGTTCTAGCTCTGTGAAAAAGTCTGGTGGTATTTTGATAGGGATTGCATTAAATATGTAGATTGCTTTGGGTAGTAATAATTTTAACAATGCTTGTTCTTCTAATCCATGAGCATGGAATGCTTTTCCATTTCTTTGTATCCTCTTTAATTTCTTTCATAAGGGTTTTCAGAGTACATATCTTTCATAGTTTTCAGAGTTCATAGTTTTCAGAGTACATATCTTTTGCTTCTTCGGTTAGGTTTATTCCTAGGTATCTTACCGTTTTTGGTGCAATTGCAAATGGGATTGATTCCTTGATTTCTTTTTCTGCTGCTTCGTTATTGGTATATAGAAATGCAACCGATTTCTGCACATTGATTTTATATCCTGCAACTTTGCTGAATTCGTGTATTAGTTCTAGCAGTGTTTTGGTGGAGTCCTCTGGGTTTTCTACACAGAGTATCATGTTGTCTGCAAATAGTGAGAGTTTGACTTCTTCTTTTCCGATTTGGATGCCTTTTATTTCTTTTTGTTGTCTGATTGCTGAGGTTAAGATTTTCAGTACTATGTTAAATAGTAATGGGGAGAGTGGACATCCTTGGTCCCGGTCCTAACTGTAGGGGAAACGCTCTCAGTTTTTCCCCATTGAGGATGATATTAGCTGTGGGTCTTTCTTATATGGCCTTTATCATGTTGAGGTGTGTTCCATCTATCCCTACTTTGTTGAGGTTTTAATTGAGAATGGATGTTGTATGGGGCACCTGGGTGGCTCAGTTGGTTAAGCATCTGACTTTGGCTCAGGTTATGATCTCATAGTTCGTGGGTTCAAGCCCCACGTTGGACTCTGTGCTGACAACTCAGAGCCTAGAGCCCGCTTTGGATTCTGTGTCTCCCTCTCTCTCTGCCCCACCCTCCCGCTCATGCTCTATCTCTGTCTCTCAAAAATAAGTAAACATTAAAAACATTAAAAAAAGAAAGAATGGATGCTGTATTTTGTCAAATGCTCTTTCTGCATCTATTGATGGGATCGTATGGTTCTTGTCTTTTGTTTTATTAATGTGGTGTATCATGTTGATTGATTTGTGAATATTGAATAAGCCCTACAGCCCAGGAATAAATCCCACTTGATCATGGTGAATAATTCTTTTAATGTACTGTTGAATTCGATTTGGTAGTATTTTATTGAGAATTTTTACAACCGTATTCCTCTGGGATATTGACCTGTAATTCTCTTTTTTTGTGGGGTCTTTGGTTTTGGAATCAAGGCTTTGTAGAATGAGTTTGGTAGTTTTCCTTCTATTTGAGAAAAATAGGTATTAACTCTTCTTTAAATGTCTGGTAGAATTCCCCTGGGAAGCCATCTGGCCCAGGTCTCTTGTTTGTTGGGAGATTTGTGATTACTGATTCAGTTTCTTTGATGGTTATGGGTCTGTTCAAATTTTTTATTTCTTCCTGTTTCAGTTGTGGTAGTTTGTGACTTTCTAGTAATTTGTCTGTTTCTTCCAGATTGCCCAGTTTGTTGGCATATAACTTTTCATAGTATTCTCTTACAGTTGTTTGTATTTCTGTGGTGTTGGTTGTGATGTCTCCTCTTTCATTCATGATTTTATCTATTTGGGTCCTTTCTCTTTTCGAGAAGTCTGACTAGAGGTTCATCAATTTGTTAATTCAAAGAACCAGCTCTTAGTTTCATTGATCTGTTCTACTGTTTTTTGTTGTTGTTGTTGTTGTTGTTGTTGTTGTTTCAGTATCATTTGTTTCTGCTCTAATCTCTATTATTTCCCTTCTCCTGGCTTTAGGCTTTATTTGCTTTATTTGTTCCTTTTCTAGCTCCTTTAGGTATAAGGTTAGGTATTTGGGACCTTTCTTACTTCTTGAGATGTACCTGAATTGCAATATACTTCCCTCTTAGGACTGCCTTTGCTGCATCCCAAAGGGTTTGGACTGTCGTGTTTTCATTTTCATTTGCTTCCATGTATTTTTTTATTTCTTCTTTAATTTCTTGGTTAACCCATTTATTCTTTAGTAGGATGTTCTTTTTTTAAAAAAAAAAATTTTTTTTTCCAACGTTTATTTATTTTTGGGACAGAGAGAGACAGAGCATGAACGGGCGAGGGGCAGAGAGAGAGGGAGACACAGAATCGGAAACAGGCTCCAGGCTCCGAGCCACCAGCCCAGAGCCCGACGCGGGGCTCGAACTCCCGGACCGTGAGATCGTGACCTGGCTGAAGTCGGACGCTTAACCGACTGCGCCACCCAGGCGCCCCAGTAGGATGTTCTTTAACTTCCATGTATTTGAGAACTTTTCAAATTTTTTCTTGTGGTTGACTTCAAGTTTCAGAGCAATATGATCTGAAAACATGCATGGTATAATCTTGATCTTTTTTGTACCTGTTGAGGGTTAATTTGTGACCCAGTATGTGGTCTATTCTGGAGAATGTTCCATGTGTGCTCAAAAAGAACGTGTTTTCACGGGGTGCCTGGGTGGCTCAGTCAGCTGAGTGCCCAACTCTTGATTTTGGCTCAGGTCATGATCTTACCATCTATGGGATCGAGCCCTGCATTGAGCTCTGTGGCTAACAGTGCGGAGCCTGCTTGGGATTCTCTTCCTCTCTCTCTTTCTGCCCCTCCCCCCTGAAAATAAATAAATAAGCATTTAGAAAAAAAGAATGTTTATTCTGCTGCTTCAGGATGAAATGCTCTGAATATATCTAAGTCCATTTGGTTCAGCGTGTCATTCAAAGCCATTGTTTCCTTATTGATTTTCCGCTTAGATGATCTGTCCATGCTGTAAGTGGGATGTTAAATCCCTCTGCTATTATTATCAATTCTTTATGTTTGTTATTTTTTTTTTTTAATTTTTTTTTTTTCAACGTTTATTTATTTTTGGGACAGAGAGAGACAGAGCATGAACGGGGGAGGGGCAGAGAGAGAGGGAGACACAGAATCGGAAACAGGCTCCAGGCTCCGAGCCATCAGCCCAGAGCCTGACGCGGGGCTCGAACTCACGGACCGCGAGATCGTGACCTGGCTGAAGTCGGACGCTTAACCGACTGCGCCACCCAGGCGCCCCTATTTGTTATTTTTTTTAATGTTTATTTTTGAGAGAGAGAGAGAGAGAGAGAGCAGGGGAGGGGCAGAGAGAGAGAGAGGGAAACAGAGGATGTAAGCAGGCTCTGTGCTGTCAGCGCAGAGCCCCATGTGGGGCTCTGTGCCTCTGAGAGAGGCTCTCACCACGCTTTTGCCACGTTGCGTGAGGAAAGCGGCCGCAGGACCGCGCAGCAGTTCAGCTTACGTCAAAACAGCAGAAAGCCAGAACCCCTGCTTACTACCCTAAACAGCCTCAGTTCCCCACTCCTGTGCCTAGAAGCAGCATGGCATGTTGGTGCCACCCATCCCTCTTGTGACCAGGGGACCCTCAGACCTTGCTGTCACTCCTAGCATTCCTCCCGCTTTGCCACCCGAGCGCCTTTAAGCCAGGCACTTCCCCCACTGTAACGGACTTCTGAAAGTTAAAATTTTGGGTTCTGCTGCTTAAAATACTTTGCGGTAGCCTCCGTAACCAGGCTTCCTCCGTGCTGCCACACTTGTAGCTTTGTCTCCCCCAGATCAACTCTCCATACGCCGGACCTTCCACAAGGTGGTCGCTTTTTTACCTGCAGACTGGCAGTTTTTGTTCTCTCAGACCTCTGATTGATTCTCGGGTGGTCAGAACGATTCGCTAACCATCTAGCTGCATCCGAGGGATGAGACACGCTTAGGCTCTCCCTACTCTTCTGCCGTCTCAACTCCCAGGCTCCGGAGCCTGTTCCAAGATGAAAGCATAGAGGTGCTCTTCCTTGTTACAGGTTGCTAGGGGTTTCCTTGCCGAGCAGTACTCCAAGGAGATGCCCTCAAGCCTCAGAGCAGAGATACAGAGATACCGCACTTACGGATCTTCTCACATGTAAGAAGCTGAAAGTGACCCTCTTCAGGATGCTCACCAGATTTTACCATTTTGTTTTATGGGTTATAACAGGCCTTGGTCAACTGGGACCCAGTGGATCAAACGGTGCTTGCCAACGAGCAGGTGGATGAGCATGGCTGTTCGTGGCGTTCTGGAGCAAAGGTGGAACAGAAGTACCTCCGACAGTGGTTTATTAAGACAACTGCTTATGCAAAGGTGAGTGTCAGCCTGGAGGTGCCCCAGTTAGTGCCGCATGTGTTGGGAGGCAATGCCAACGTCTTCTGGGTATTACAGAGACTCGCTGTTGAGGATGAACTCTGGCAAGGGCTCTTAGAGCCACAGGTGTGGCACATGAGACTCAGGACCGCTCATTTAGACGGTGATGGATTTGAGTGTTTTAGGGGTACTTCCACAATGGCCCCTGGAGGTCATCGTTGGCTGTTATTTGCTGACCTTTCAACACTCAATCGTTGTGTTGCCATACAGGCCAAAAAACGTATGACTTTATTTGCAATTGTAAAGCGAGAAAGGAAAAAAAAAAAGGCATCTTCATTGGTATAGTACTAGTAAAAAAACCTCCAGATAGAATGACATTTCAGAGGGTCCAGAGAAGACAGTCTAAAAGGCATGAAGAGATGGTCTCCAGGAAGCAAAGCCAGAGTGAAAATTAACTAAGCCAGGAGCCAAAGCTCCGATTTTAACTCCTGTGTCCCTGATTAACAGTATAAACTGGTGTGAGTCGGGAGGCTCTGTTATTCTCATCATGAGAAGGAGACGGTGGGACCAAGTGGTCTCTAAAGTGCCTTTTGGCTTTTCATGCGGTCGGGGATTCAAGGCAAAGCCAGCCATTGAAAGGGGGAGACTGCTTATTAAATCACCACTAGCCTGAGCAGAAGAACCCGTTCTGGGTAAGCCAGAACCACTCCGTGCAAGATCCCCTCCAAGGTTACCAAGTTTCAGGATATGGGATTGAGGGATCGCTCCCGGAAACTCCAGAGACAAGTGACTAGAGCATATCAGGGACGTTTCCCGTGGCAGTTAGATCATCTCCATATTTTTCAGCTTAAGACTGGACGTAAACAGGATTTAAAAAGTTAAAGGCATCACAAGACGGATAGTTCTTTCCATCCGTAGCAGCCCGTGAGGTGCTCTGTCGGAGACAGGATAGTGGGCTGAAATGGACTTTGGGTCAGATCCAATACTGTACTTCCTTTTTTTTTTAAGTTGATTTGTTTTGAGGAGGGGAGGGGCAGACAGAGAGAGGGAGAGAGAGAATCCCAAGCGGGCTCCGTGCTGTCAGCACAGAGCCCGACGCAGAGCTCAGTCCCACGAACCGAGATCGTGACCTGAGCTGAAATCAAGCGTCGGATGCTTAACCGACTGAACCATCCAGGCACTCCCCGCCCCAATACTGTACTTCTTATATGCAAAGAAAGCACAAAGTTAAAAATAACCCCCGATCGCTGCAAAACTTGGCTGAATTAGAACTTCAGCACACCAACTCACAATACCAGTGCCATATGGATATGTGACCTCCAGTTTTCTCACTCAAAAGACATGTCTCAAATGAGGCAGTTTTCCCATTATAATTAATCCGGAAGGTAGCAGAGAATAGCATATGGATTTGGAAAACTACCCATTAGAACTTGTTAACACAGTGCCTTGCTCCTTTTAAGCACACAGGAATATTGAGAGACAGAAAAAGCTGAGGACCTTGCTTTGTATAACATCCCAGGCCGTGGGAGCCCCTGTCTACTCCACTGTGTTACTGGGAGGGAAGCCAGGTCACCCCAAGCTGACTCTGCACTAGGCATTGTGGGAAGGCCATCTAATTAGCTCTTTTTTTTTTTTTTTTTTTTTTTTTTTGACCATTGCCTCCAGTTGAAAATGTTATAATCTCACTGAGGGACATTATTCTTGAACTCATCAGCTGTGAGTTTTCAACTGTTCAGCGGAAATTGTTAGTTACCATGGTGATTCACCTGGTTCTCGCTGAACTCCTGCACAGGTTTATTGAAAAAGCTGTCTTTGGAGGTCAGCACTTCGTTTTCCCTGAAAATCGGGAGACCAGGGTGTGGCGTGAGAGTGGTGCGGGGGAGCAGAAATCTGTGTTCACCGCAGGGCCTCTGCTGAGGGCTGCATGTGCACAAAGCAGGACTCTATAAGGCCTAATAGAAAATGGTTATAACAAGATTGAGAGGAGACCAGAGACACGAGCAGACTGCACGGTGCTCAGAGATCTTGGGGTTATGGCCCAGCCAGCAGTATGGAGTTGAGAGCCCCAAAAGGCCATATGTGAGAAGTAGGGATGACCCCCTAGAACCAAAGACAAAATCAGAATAGACTCAACTTAATAAAAAATAGAAGGAAGCCTGACAGTTTCAAAAGGAACTCTCAGAACAAAACTCAACACCTTTAGAGGAGACCATATGATCTCGACTCCCTACATGGTTGGTTTTGTACTTGTGTGTCCAACATATAATAATAATTAAAAAAAAAAAAAAAAAGTACTAGCCCTGCAAAGAATCAGGAAACTGTGGCTCACAATCAAGAAAGAAAAAGGGGAGGGGAGAGGGGACAGCCCAGTAGAAATAGATTCAGAGATGACCCAGATGTTGGAATTATGAGAGAAAGCCAGAGACCTCTGTTACATAAATGGTCTGGGACTTAAAGGAAAAGGTGGTCATAATGAGGGAACAGATGGTGAATCTCAGAAGAGAAATGGAAACTATTTAAAAAAAAAAAAAAAAAGAACTGGAAATCTAGAACAGAAAAGCATAATTATCTGAAACAGAAAGTCACTGTTTGGGCTCCAGAGGGATGAGTAAGGGTTAAAGCAAAGCCATAAAGCTGGAGGGGAGCTCTTTCAAAGGGAACATCATGCGTGGTGGCCCCAAAGTAGAAATGTATCTGATGACGTTGAGAAGCTGGAAGAACAACAGTATTACTGGAACAGAGAGCCAGGAGGAAAGACTAACTAGGGCTGGAGAAGCTGGAGAGGGTTAGGGGCCAGATCAGGCGTGTCCTTTTAGGTCTTAAGGAGTTTGGACTTTATCATGGAGGCCATGGGAAACCGTGGAAGGACTCTAAGAAAGGGAATGACACGGTCAAATGTGTGGTTTTTATAAATTCACTGTGGAAAGGGCAGTGTGGATGCAGGCAGGCCTGCTAAGAGGCTGTGACAATAGTCCAGGTGTGTATGACTTAGGCTATGGGTGGGAGTAGTGTGGGGAGATAGGTAGGTTAGAAAAATACTCAGATGGTGAAATTTGCAGCACTTCATTACCTATTGGATGACAGTGTGTAGGAGATGGTGTCATTAGGAAGGACCCTGACCTGGACACAAAGCAGATGACTGAGCTACTGACTGCGGTAGGGAGTCTGGAAGAGACGTAGTCCTGACCCTTTGAGTCGGAGTGGCCCTGAGACTGTTGAGTGGAGATGTACAAGTAATAATAGGTGCTCGGATAAGTGGGTTTGAAACTTCAAAGATGAGGGGCATCTGGGTGGCTCAGTCAGTTAAGCATCCGACTCTTGATTTTGGCTCAGGTCATGACCTCACGGTTCGTGGGTTCGAGTCCTGCATCAGTCTCTGCACTAACAGTGTGCTCTCTCTCTCAAAAATAAACTTAAAAAAAAAAAAAGAAAGAAAGAAAGAAACTTTAAGGATCAAGTGATAAGACATCTACCTTAAAACCTGGTATGATAGAAATAGCGTTGAATCAGTAAGGAGATCATGCTATATAGATTAAGGATGAGGTCTCAGATCAACTGGTAATGCTTTTAGCTGCAAGTAACTGAAAACCTGAGCTATGGGTGTCTTAAACTGATGGGAGTTGATTTTTCCCATATAAAAAGGCCCAAGGTGCTGGGACTGAACCAGGATAGGGCTCTGAGTTGGCATCTTGGGGGCTCTCTCAGCCTTTTCCTTCCTGCCTTATCACCTCTTGGTGGCAAGATGGCTGCTGCAGCTCCAGATATCACATTTCCATGCAAGACAGAGAGAAGCAGAAGGGGGGCAGTGTGACTGTTTCTGTTACCTGGAAAGCAAGAACTTTCCCACAACTCCCCCAACAAAATCCCACTGAGGTTCTTTTAGCCCCAGTTATGTCATGTGGCTACTCCCCAGCTTCAACGGAAGCTAAGGAAAGCAGCTTCAGTCTTTTTAGCTTCTTTGGTCAAGCTGCCTGACGGAAGGGGATGGCCAGCGGGTGCTGGGATGGTCAGTGAGCTGTGCCTGACGTTGTCTTCTTTAGAATTTTGTGTGTGTGACTGGTTTTGCTGTGCCGGGGGCTGCCTCTGTGCCGAACGGCTGGCGGTCTGCATGGGAGCGTGGCTGTGAAGGGGCCCTCCTCTCATTCATGTAACTTCCGGATTGGAAAACAATGCCTGATGCGCAAATCACTGGGAACCCCGAAATGCCGAGGTCCTTTATTAAGGCTGTTCTGTGATGTTATTGGAGTTTTCTCCCCTCCTCCCCTTGTCCCTACCCGGTCTTGCTAGGACTGTTTGCTTCGTGAAATGTTGAGAAAACTGGCAGAAGGAGTACCCAAGGCACATGAGTTAGTCTGGGCAGAGCTGTGTGGGCGGCATCTCGTGGGCAGCACCGCGAGGGGAGAGCAGGGGGAGGAGGGAGGATTGCAGGCCTCCGCGCAGAACGCAAAAGGGATTCGGGGTCTGATGGAGCGATCGCCTCAGTTCCTGCCAGCAGGGTGACAATTGGGAGGCGAGACAAATCGCGAGCCGGCTTCCCACTGGAACTTGTCTAATAGATTTGTGGTTTTGATTTCTGCGGCTGCCTCCTGTAGCCCCCAGACGCTGCCTCCCGCAGGCCCGCGGCCGCTGGGGCACTGTTCATAGGTTCCTCTTTGGACATAATCATGCCCTGATGGTGCTTAGTCAACCACCACATCACACTGGTGGGTATATTTCCCACATTTCCAGGCGATACCTGGCAGCTGCTAGAATATGAAGCAAGTCTGTGTGCCCCCTCCCGTTTCCTACCTGCTTTTGCCCCCGATCTGATCGGTGCTCAGGCTTTTACCCTCCCCATCTTACTTATCCCTCACATTGTTCCTTTAAGCGTCGGTGTGCCTGTTATCCCCATTTTACTGACGTAGAAACTGAGGCTCTCACTGGTAATAAGTAATGGCCCTGGGATTCAAACTCGGGTGCTTGGGCTCTTAACCGGCAGTCTGTCCCACTTCTCAGGGAGC